TGCAGCCATTGCGGCCGACGGAAGGAAACGGCCGCTGAAGCCGGAGCCGAAGAGTGAGGGTCTGCTCCTTGCCCCTGAAAAATGCGGACTCAACAGGCGGCCCCCAAAAGAGCACAGGCCCCGTGCCGCTCCCCCTGCTGTGGCCGGCCAGAGTTACAAGACAAGATACAATTGTTATGACAAGATACAATTGTCAAAGCAGAGAGGAGGCCTGGCTGGGCTTAACGGGCCTTCAGCGGGAGCACTCTGAAAACACGTTGGAGAAGGAAGTAGCCCGAACTAGCCAGCCCCGGTGGCTGTCTCAAAGCCACGTTGTACTGACAGCAGCTTTTTTGGCTAGCGTGGGTAGCTGTAGGTAGGTGGCTCTTACTTGGGGAGGTAAAGGGGTAAGAAGAGAGAGGAAATGGGAAAAATGTCACAGTGATGCGAATGGTTCATCTTAGGCACACGTACAGCACAGTCCTGTAGAATTGGTAATAAAACTAGGACATATGTGTAATATAAATACTACAAAATAATAGAATCTGGAATAGGAAAATACTCGGGGAATACTACAACTCATATATTGTGTACAAAAGGAAATTCTGGGGAGTTTGTATTAATCACCCCCCAATTTATGCAACAGAGATGCAGATTCCTTTTTTTTTTTAAAGTTTTTAAAGCTGGTGCAATCACAGATGGTGGTAGCCTTAAATGGGAAAACGTAAATTATTTACCAACAATACATAATTAGACAAGCCTGAAGTTAACACACAATAAGGAGACAAAAATATCTCATCGTTAAGCCATGGGCCACACAAATGGCACAAGACAGATGTTTGAAGATGGCAGACTACTTCCTATAAGATGAATGGGTTTGGATTAGTTCAGAATCATGACAGAAGACATCCAAAGCCTGTGCTTCAAGTTGTGATGATAAATTTGACTGTCATTTTGTAAAGAGGGTTGTGTTTACTCAATGAAGATGACTTACCTAATTAAACTACCAATGTTAATGTCCCCCACACATACCATGTTAGAGCTGCATCTTGAGGAGAAATAGAAGATAATGTCTTCATTGATCCTTTTAGTGAAGACATACCACTTCAGTAGCAGGCAGACCCTTAAACACAGACTGAATCCAGAATTTTAGGAACTGATAGACACAGTGCAGGTAAATTGCATTTTGTCACAGGTGTCTTCTGGCAGAACTTCAACAGCTGTGATAATTAACCTTTCTTGATTCTGTTTTTTGAAAACTTCTCTGCCTTTCATTATCTTTTTGATTTATGAGTTTATGGAGTAGTTTAATAATTGGTTGTTGCATCTCCCACACAAGATTGAGACAATATGGATTAAAAAGACTTCTAGAAAAAAAACCTGCAAAACTGGAATTTAGGAGAAGAAGGGGGGAAATTTGAGAAAATTTCAGGTGTGTGTTAAAGGGAAATTGCTAAATTCAAGACAGGAAACTGAAACTGGTTTATCTTCTCATTTTTACTATTGAGTAAGAATGCTTGTTCTCAGTACACTGCTTTGGGATGCTTCACTGTATCGACGCTTCTGTATTGCTGCCTTTTTCTCCATCCAACCTGATGAGGTTAACTTAACGATACAGTTTCAGCTGAGAGTTGAAAGACCTGGATGAGATTAGATTGGTATAAAATGTTAGCATTATCTAAGGTGTTTACACAGTGTAGTGAGAGGAACTAAACACAGCTTAAAAACCTTGGTTCTGGAAGAAGGCTAAATTGGAAAGGGATAGATGATTCTAAGAGGTTCTTAGAGCTAATGCAAGAGCTGCCTACTATAGCCTGCTCTTCTTATTCCATCACGGAGAGGCTGCTCTTCTGCTGCCATAGTCCCAATGTTAAGGACTCTAAGGACTCTCTTAGGTTTGACGGCCAGCTCCATCTGCAGACACCAGTTCCATAGAACATAGTTATCCTGGAGGTACCTTGGGCTCACTTTTAGATATCAAAGGATATGTTTCTTAGACAAATCTAACTCAATAAAATGAAATGGTGAAAAATAGTTTGAAGGTGCCGTAAAGAGAGTAAGCTGGCATGTCTGAAGATACGTTACAAGCTTGTATTGTATGCTGGAGTGCACCAGGCCATCCAATTTTAAACATGGTTGCCAGCCTCTGTTAATTAATATGAACAGCTCTTTTCAGTTAGTTCAGAGCAGCTTGTATTAGCGTGCAGTGCCGACTGGCTTTCAGTACAGGGCAGACGGCAGCTTTTGAGAAGCTTTTGGGAACAGAAGCATAGGCTTCACAGAGTGTACGAAGTCCTCCAGGACTGCGTTTATTTCCAAAGTGACTGGTTACTGCAGTGTCCTGTCATCAACACAGAAACTAGCAGATCTGCTGTGGGCAAAATTACAGAAAAGGTCATCTGGAGATTGCAGAGAAAGTGCCCTGCATCAAAGTACTCAGTAACCCTCGTTAGGAATTTTATCCATAGAGTGAAACACCACAACAACAAATTATGAGATGCTACTTTTTAGTAATGAAGTGATATGAATACACATACACACTTCAGTTTCTCTGTAGCAGTCATGTGACTACATATTTTCTAGAAATGTCAAAGTGGCTCATCTATGAAATGCTGAGAAAAGTCCTGTGTAAATGCCAAGCACATCTTTAACGTTAAGAGCATTATATGGCTTTTGAATCTAAGGGTTATGTAATTGCTACCGAAAGCAGGAATCTAAACATGAACTGATAATTAAGCTAACACAATTTACAAGACGAGAAATGTGAAAACTATTTGAGCAGTATGTAGTTAACTTATGGTGTGATTAATAACGTATGCTGAGTATCTTCAAGTGTTCACTGCATATTTGTGCAGGATATTTTATATTTGTTGACTGATAAGAATACCTGATTTGCAAAGTGTTTCCCAAGGGAGTCCTGCGCACCTCTGACATCCTGCGTTCCCCTTTTTATTCCCTATCTAAGCGTTTCAGGATTAGCAGACTGTTGCATCATCCACACTTGTCACCTGTTTCTTACCCTTAAGAAGCTTAAAGAGTTGTCCTTGTAAATACAAATTCTTGCAAATGTGAAATGAGTAATTGATACGAATTGATCTAAGCAGTTTCACTGTATTTTGGAAATCTCTATATGGGCCACGTTTCAGGGTAAGTATACGCAAAGATTCAATGAAGCTGTAAAGTAGTAAGAAACATCAGAGATAGACAACGAAATCAAAACAATGCATAGGCTGAGCTCTCTGTTCGGATTTTTAAGAACCTTCCAGTTACCAAGAAGTTAAATCTTACTCTGCAGGGTTTGAAAATGACTGCTTTGCGTGTGTTTAATAACAGCTGCAACTGTATGTTCTGTCAAAGCATGTGCGGCTGTTACGTGCTCTGCGAAGTATTTAGATCTGGTACTCGATCTAGTATTTGGATTTGCAGGTACAGTTTGGGGACTTGGACAGGTACCTCGTGCAGGCGATAGCCCTGTAAACCCCCCTGCGTCCCTCTGCTGATGCTTGAGGATGGGAGCAGTGAAAGGGCTTTCATCTCAAGTGAGCAACTGTTGGTGAACCATTCGCAGGATGGGATCCCTGGGGAAGCACCCCAAGGACAGCGTCTGACCTGCAGTGAACCCTCGCTCAGTTATTGGCCTCCGGCTGCTTCCGAGAGGTTTTTGCTACAGACAGCGGGCTGTACGTGCCGGTGAACTGCGTACAGGTTACATGGCTCACACTTCAGAAAAAGAAACACTGTGGATTCATTTGGGCTTTAAGGTTTGGGTCTGTCAGTTTCT